ATGGTGGTGATGATGACATCTCACATTTCAGTCACCACTATGTGACAAGTTTCTCCTAGGAATCAATGCCTCTTGATATTCACATCAGAAATGTGGCGGCTGAGATAATGTTTGTGAGATCTCCCGTGCCCAAGATCCTTAGACGGGCTTAGAGGAACCACTCACAGGCCACTGTGGGTTGGCAGAAACCTTGTGTTTCCTTCCCACAAGGACGCAAATCAGCACCACCTCTGGGTGCTGTAACCACCGGCTCAGGATGTGGTTTGCTTTGTTTTGTGGTACTGGGGATTGAACCCAGAGCCTTTGCACTGAGCTGCATCTTTCTGCAGCCCTTTCTAAAAGTTTGAAGCAGAATATCACTAAGTTGCTAAGTTGCCCAGGCTAAGCTCAAATTTGTGTTCCAGAGTGCTGGGATTATAGACGTGCGCCCCGTGCCTGGCTAGAGATGTGTTCATGTGTCCTGGCTCCTAACGGGTGTTTAAAGCGGACTCTTGGCAGTTCCTGAGGGGCTGTGGCTTGTCGCTGAGCCTGCCCTGCAGAGGAAACGGGTTTAAAGGAGCTTGGGGACCGGGCTCCCAGGCAGTGGCCGATCTTCGGCTCTGGGCTGCAGAATCTGTCGCAGAGCAGAGAGTTGGGCTACTGGATTTCTGCGTCTTCACCAAAGGTTACCGTGTCACTGGTGTCTGTCGTGTTCGAGTTGTGCTTGAAGTGTTTCTGAACTCGGTTAAAATCTCCTTGAAATTCCAAGTAAAGCAAAACCAAAATAAACTATCAAATGAAGTCCACTACATGAAAGTGGCTCTGCCTGAGCAGCGTACATGGAAGAGAAGTGCTGATTCTTATCTCGCGTGGCTTAGCGAGCCTTGGGGGCCTGTCCTCTATAATTGCTGTAATTAGCACAGGCGAGGAAAAGAGGAACACTCCTGGGGCGCCTGCTCCACTACCCGAATTCCAGGGTAGCAGGAGAGAGTAGGTGCCGCGCTCCCTCTGGGCGTGGGACCTGGGTCACACCGGGTCCTTCCTGACTTGTTTCTTTAAGGGCATTCGCCAAACATTTCTCCAGAAGCTGTGCGAATGTGGGCTGGGAGTGTGGCTCAGTGGTAGAGCACCAGCCTGGTGTGCACCGGGCCCTGGGTTCCATCCCTAGCACCATACACGCATGTACACACTGATGCACACACATGCACACACATGCATACACACATGCTGTACGCGCACACACACCATTGATTGTGTACCTCAGTGTGGCTAAAAATGCATGCTGAACTTTTTTGGCTTTTTTTTTTCTTTTTTTGGTCTTTTTGAGACAGGGTCTCGCTGTGCAGTTCAGGCTGGCCTTGAGCTCACTTTGTAGCCCAGGCTGGTCTCAAACTTGCAACGATCCTCCTGCCTCAGCCTCCCGAGTGCTGGGATTACAGGCGTGTGCCACCACACCTGGATGACTATATGCTCTATTTTTAAAGTACATGCTATGGAGCACATTAAGCCATACGTGTAAAATCAATTTTTCTGTCAGATCATCTTGCTCCAGACAGCAGGTAACTGCTTCTTCCCATTAGAAGCGAAGGTCTCCTTTCCTTCCCTCTCTTCCATCGCCTCTCTGTGGCCCAACACCCCCCCACAGAGCTGCTTGCTCGGTACTCCCATCCGTCCCCTCCTCCTCCTGGTGTCTCTCGGCTTCCTCATCCCAGCCTCCGGATGCTGGGCGGGTCCCCACCTCCCCCTGCGTCTCCCGCGCTGCCCCACTGGGATTCGCAGACTGCCAGCATCCAGCAGCAGCCTGCATAGATGAGGTGCTAAAAATACAGAACCCATAAAAAGCAAATTCTTGAATGCACGGGAGAAAAGCTCTCTACAGGAAAAGGAAGTCAAGTCAGTCAGATAAATCAGCTCACTAGACTTTTATTCCTTCCCAGGCGCTGTGGACATTTTTTGAATACATTTATAATACATATAAATTGTTGGCTGAGGCATCTGCATCTATTATCCTGTATGTCATGACCTTTCCTTGTCCTTGAGTTCTTTTTCCTTTACATTGTCCAAGTTTTGGCATGCCTATAAAGATGTTGTTGTTGTTTTTTGGTGCTGGGGATGGAACCCTGGGCCTTCACACTGAGCTGCATGCCCGGCCCTTTTAAATTTTTTATTTGGGGACAATATCTTGCTAAATTTCCCCAGGCTGAGCTAAAATTTGTGATCTTCCTGCCTCAGCCTCTCAGAGTGCCGGCGTGCACCACCTTGCCGGGCTGTCTATAAAGGCCTTAAACACTTTCTCTAAGTTATCTCAAAAAGCTGCCCTCATACCAGTGTAAAGCTGCCCCCGGCCTGGCCTGAGAGCACGTCCTCGCCTGTGCTGGGGAGCAGCTAGTGTCCTGGCCCTGCGTGGGGACAGTAGCTCTGACGTCCAGGGTGTGCCTGCCGGTTTCACTGGGCACGCTCTGCCACTGGCCCGTGTTGTATCCCCTGTGTGCCCTGCACTCAGAGTTGGGGAGATGCGTGCCGTAGGTCAGGCTGGGCCGAGGCGGCTTGGGCACTCCAGCCTCTGCAGGACAGCTGTCTCGGTCGCTCTCTCTGACTGAGTCACGATGCCCAGCGCCCACACTTAGAGAAGGAGAGGTTTCTTCCGGCGCACGTTCTGAGTCCGTGGACAGCTGGCTCCGGGCAGGAAGGGCACAGCAGAGGGGCCTGGCAGAGGAGAGCTGCTCATGTCATGGTGCACAGGAAGTGTGGGGAAGAAGGGAGGAGCCAGGGAGGAAGAGGACCCCTCCCTCCCGCCCTCAGGCCCACCTCCTCCCACCAGGCCAGCTGATTCCTCAGCGGACTCCTCTACCCGCTGACCCGCTCCCCTCCCCTCACCCCTGCCTGCAAGCCCAGGGGGCTTTGGGAGACATCTAGATGCAACGCGCAGCACCTACTTTGCATCCAGGCCTGTGTGTCAGAGCTGCGGACAGCCCCTAAGCCGAGCCTTGTAGTCAGGATCTCTAGTGTAGGGCATTTGGTATTTGCTTCCCCACCCCAGGCTGAAGACTGGATTCTGTTTCCCTGTGTCTGGTGCCTCCTTTGTTGCCCAGTGATGTTTGTTGATTGAATGAGCGAGCACACGATCAGGTGCTTTTCCCACTCCTCTCCTTGCTCTCTTGCCAATGAGGCGCAGAGTGAGCTCCGGGTGTGCCTCCCCCTGCAGATGCGTTTGGTTTCACCCTTCCAAAGTTCCTGAGGTTTGAACAAGACGAACCGGAAGGAGCGAGTCCTTTGTTGTCTCTTGCTGTTGTTTTGGGGTAGAGCAAACAGCTTTTGGTTTTCTCTTGGACGAAGCAACGCCAGGTACTTGCCGGGTGGCCTGGGCCGTGCCGGGGACCGGAGCACGCGGACGCTGAGCTCCCTGCTGGAAGGGCTATGTGCAGGGGGCCCCTGTGAGGCTGGAGCGCTGGGGGCTCAGGTGGGTGAACCCCGTTCCCTGCTCCTATTTGGCTTCTCCTCCACCCCCAGCTTAAAAAAACAAAACCTCCTCTGCATCCCTTGCACGCCGAACCAGTGTTTCTCCTCTTTGTCCCGGGATGGCAGCCTGGGGAGATTCCCAGGAACGCGGGCCCTCGGGGCGGGCTGTGTCCAAGGGAGCCGGTTGCGCCCTTGGAATCCACTCTGGCCTTGGGTTCAGTGGGCACGGTCACTGAGGCTGCCCACACGCCACAGGGGGTGTGACATCCGCAGCACCGCCCGCTCTCTTCTCACAGCCCGGAGCTCTGGAAGGGAAGTGCTACCTACTAGGCGCTGCAGTGATCAAGCGGCCGAAAGCCTCCACCAGCAGTTTGCCAAAGGTACACTGTCGCTTTTGGAGACAGGGTTTCACCATGCAGTTCGCGCGGGCCTTGAACTCACTATGGAGCCCAGGCTGGTTCTGAACACACAGCAGTCCTGCCTCAGCCTCCTGAGTGCTGGGGTCACAGACATGTACCACCATGCCGGGCCCTGTTCTTTCTTTTGAAATAAGGAATATAGGAATAGGAATACATGGAAGACACTGGGGCAGGAAACTCGCAGGTCACTTTACCTTCCCGGGGCACAGGGGTGCCTCGGAGAGGGTGGGGTGCTGGGCTTCTTTCTTTCTCCCCCATTGCAGGCGCCTTTCCTAGGCCTGGCCCTCCCCCTCTCTGGGGCTCTGCCTCATTCACCGACTGGCCTCTAGAGACCTGGGACCCAGGGCAGAGCGGGAGGTGGGACATCCTGGCTCCTCCTCTGGCCGGCCGGGCGCCCCAGGTGGGCCTGTTCGAGTGTTGCAGGACTGGGGCTGCAGGGCGGTCAGTGCTGGCCTCCCACAGGTGGAGCGCGGACCCTTCCTGCTCCAGAGCCCAGAAGCCGTGCCACAGGCAGAGCAGCCGTGGGAGGGCGCAGGGCACGGCGCTCGCTTGGCGGCTTGGGCCTTGGGGTGGCAGCGCGGTGTCTTCTGATTCAGGATTTGTTCCACAGCTGCCCTGGCTCTTTCCAGCGCTCCTGGAAGACGCCCTTCCTCTATGGAGCTCTGAGGACCAGAACGTGACCCGAGGCGGCCCCGGGGGCTGCGGGGTGAGGAGGGACGCCCGCGGGCCCAGCCCGGGCCAAACCAGGTCTGTGTGGCTGGGGCAGCGCTTGCCCACCTGGGCCAGGCCAGGCACTAGGGAGGTGGCATGTGCCGCGGGCACAGCTCCCGGCGGGCCCAGGAGGGGAGCAGTCACAGCCAGGCCGGGCAGGACACGTGGGTACTGTGAAGTGACAGAAGTGCGCTGCACGTTAGGGCAGGAAGAGCAGGGCCCTCGGCTGCGGAACCGCTGACACCGCCAAGGGGCAGCGACGCTTGTCCTGCGCTGCTTCGGCCCGCGGGCGTCTGTGTGACCGCTGTGTCATCCCCAGCTCTGGGGTGGGGGTTGCAGAGTGTGGGAAACGTGGCCCACATGGTCCCCAGGCCCGGGTCAGGCGTCCTGCCTTGTCCTGTCCTGTCCTGTCGTGTCCGGTGGACACTCTCACTGAGGCGGGGGTGTAACTCCCCCAGCAGGGTCTCTGCTCACAGCAGCGGCATCCGAGCAGTCTCGGTCGTGCAGACTCTGGGGACACAGAAAATAGAAACAAGGACACAACTGGGTGTGAAATACGGGTTAGGATGAGCAGTTTCTATCAACCAGCAGGCTCCACTGCGCTAAGAGGAAGGCGAGCATCCCCGAGGCGGGGCGGGCCGGACGGTCTCCTCTGCGCCCTGCAAGGCCGGGAAGCTGTCCTGGCCTCAGTCTGCGCGCTGGGTCCTCCATTGCCATGGGGGACAGTGGAGCAAGGAAGGAAGGACGGGGCCCTGGCGGGTCCCCAGAGGCAGAGGGTGCCTGGGCCAGCCGAGGCGCACATCGGTGTTCTCTGGGCCTTGCGGGGCGTGCCAGGGACCCCACAGCCTCTCCTGGCCCCCTGAGTCTGGGCTGCCCACAGGTGTGAGGCCAGCGCAGTGCTGACCGCTCTGACCGCCAGCGGCTGGATGGACGGCAGCGCCGGGGCCGTGTCTGTGCACCTCGCCCTCTACAACCCAGCCACCCAGCTCTTCGCCAGCGTGACCCTGAGTGTGGACGCCCCACCCAACGGGCAGCCACTGCCCTCAGCCTGGGTGGAGTCCTTCAGGGTCTTCGGCGGTGGCTCCGCCTCCTGGTACCACCGTGCGCTCCCTGAGGTGAGTGACGTGGCCCCTCACTTGGCCCGCGGCACCCAACAAAGACGTAGACACCCAGGGGGAGGCCAGTTGTGGCCCGGGAGTGCTGTCGCCCAGGCTGTGTGCAGTGGGAGGGCTGGGTGGTATCAGACGCCCCTGGGTCTTCGCGGGCTTTGGCTGCCGTCCTAAAATGCAGCCACAGCCCCTTAGGTGGGTTCCCTGCAGTTGACTGTGGTCCACAAATATCGCATGGGAAATTCTGGAAACAAACAATTTGCACGGTTTCAAGTAACTTTATTATAGCACCCGTTTGTAATTTTTCTAGTTTATTACTGGTTATTGTTGTAATTAGTTTTTTTTTCAGTACTGGGGATCGAATCCAGGGCCTTTGCTCTGAGCTACAGCGCCGGCCCTTTTTTATTTTTAAATTTTTTAAAATCTTGAGACGGGGACTTGCTGAGTTGCTAAGTTGCCCAGGCTGGGCTCAGACCCAGGGTCCTTGGCCCCAGCCCCCCCAGTGCTGGGGTTGGGCGTGCACCCCCACGCCAGGCTTGTTGTGATCTCTCACTGCTCCTCCTTTGTCAGTCAGCTTTACCGTGGGTGGGGTCAGCGGCGGTACACAGGCTGGTGGCTTCAAGAATGGGGTTTACGTGACACTGCCCTGGAGGCTGAAGGTCCAAGGTCGGGGTCCCGGAAGGTCGGGTTCAGGTGAGAACCCACCCCTGGGGCCCACGGCCAGCGCTTCTGTGTCCTTGTGTGACCCCTTGTGGCTGTGGACGAGGGGACCGTGCAGGCTCAGTGTGTCTCCGCGCCAGGACCCCAATCCCGCAGGGCCAGGGCCGCCTGCGTACCCTCAGCTACTTCGTCCCTTCTTTTCCGGCGCCTTCTCTGGTCCTCAGACAGTGATACAGGGCCGTGGCCTTTGTCTCAGCCCAGGCGCTTGTGTGGTGACAGGGCGGCTTGTGCACCTGCTCGAGCCTCAGAAGCCCCAGAAGTCACCTCGCTTCCCCCGGGCCCTGCCGGGCTCGAGCCTCTCTGAGCACCTCCGCCGGGAAGAACCTGGTTGCTCAAGGTTGCACTAACGTCACCCTCAAGGTCACATTCACTTTCCCTAGGGGTGCAGAGGGGGCTGCTTGCGTACATGGTGAAGGCCAATGTCGCTCCAAGCTGCAGCCCCGGGAAGGGAATTGGGAGTCGAGGAGAGTGGTGGGTTTTGGGGGGTTTTTTTGTTGTTTGTTTGTTTTTGTCTTTTTGAGACAGGGTCTCACTATGCTGTTCATGCTGGCCTTGAACTCACTTTGTAGCCCAGGCTGGTCTTGGACTCACAACAATCCTCCTGCCTCAGCCTCCTGAGTTCTGGGATTACAGGTGTGAGTCACCATGCCCGACGCTGGGAGTGGTGTACTCAAATACAAAATTCATGCAAAAAGACCAAAACTGGCACTGCATAAAGAGTCCAACTCTGGAACAGAGGGGCCCCTCTGCCAACCCTGGCCTCGGGTTCTGCCAGACTGGCTGGCCCTGCTGTGTAGCACCCACACCGAGACCCACGGACTGGGGCTGTGGCCTCCTGCAGCAGGCAGCAGGCAGCAGGCATGGGGACCCCGAGCTCCCTGCCCAGTCCCCACCCACTCAGGAGAAAGCCAGGTGCGACGAGCGCAGACAGGCTGCTGACGCATCACCAGGGCGAAAGCCACCGGAGAGCTCTGTTATACAGGGCCTTCCAAAACCCCGTCTCTTTTTAGTTTTTACTTTCCAGTTTTTATCTGTATTCGTCCATGTTTGCCATACTTAATGATCACTCGCCTCGTGGGGAGCCAGAACGCCTCAAAGCAATCTTCATCCTGTCTACACCCCTGCTTCCCTCTTCCGCCTCCGTCTCCTGGGCCCCTTCTGCCCTACAAAAGATCTATCCCCTTGTTTTCTGAATTATCAGTCTTATTTTGCTTTTTAATCATCTATGTTTAGGGTTTCCCATGTAAGAGAAACCATGGAACGTGTATGTAAGCTTGTGTGTCTGAATTAATTTACTCCATATTATGGTCCCAGGCTGCCTGCACTTTCCCATAAACGACTCAAGCTTGTCTTTCTTCATGGCAGAGTCGTACTCCATTGTGTGTAAACAATTTTCTTTATGCATTCCTCTGTTGCTGCTTCCAAGACGCGGCTGTTATGAGTTGTGCCGCTGTAAACATGGGTGTGCACGGATCACTGTGATATGTTGTCTTTAACTCTTTCAGGAAGATAGCTAGAAGGGGAGTGGCTAGTTTTAGTTTTCTGAGGAATCTCCGCCCTCCTTTCCACAGTGGCTGTACACGTTTACACTCGCAATAACAGTGCAGAAGGGCTCCTTTTTTCCCTGTAGCCTTGCCAGCATTTGTTATTATTTGATTTCTGGATGATGGCCATTCTTTCTGGAGTAGGAGGGAATCTCAGTGCTGTTTTAATTTGCCTCTCTCTAATGGCCAGTGATGTTGAACATTTTTTATGTATTTATTATTCATTTGTACTTCTTATTCTGAAAAGTATCTTCTCCTTTTGTTCCCGGCAAACTTAAGGCCATATCTCAAAATAAAAAATAACAAAGGGCTGGGGATGTAGCTCAGTGTAAAGGCCCCAAGTTCAACACCCAGTACTTAAAAAAAAAGATGAAGAAATCTTGACCACAGCAGCTTTTAAAGGCTTTACTTGGCCAAGAAACTACTGTGTGGGAAATACAAAATGCACGAGCCAGAGCTTTGGCGGGTTTACCACCTGCGATCCCACGCGCTGTGGACATTCGTGTCCATGCTCAATGCTGTGGGCCTGGCACGGTGCTGGGCTTCTGAGAGTTCACCACAGGTGAGCAGGACCGACCTGACCAGGTCCCCGGGAAAGGGCGAGCTCATCAAGCAACAAACGGTTTATGTGGTGTCTTGGTTACTATTCTCTCATTGTGGAGACAAAACACCTGATGCCCAAAATTAAGGAAGGAAAAGTTTATTTAGCTCACAGCTTGTGGAGGTTTCAGTCTATAATCAGCTGGCCCCAAGGCAGGGTGGCATGGCACAGGGGCAACAGTTCATGGAGGCAGAAAGCAGCAAAAGCAGCAAGAGCAAAGGGGGAGGAGCAAGCCTCTTTTCCCTCCCTTATATTGTGTGAAGGCTACCTGCCCTCAGGTGGGTGTGGCACTCACACCCATAATCCCAGCATTGGACCATGAGTTGATCATGAACTCTAGCAGCCTGCCCTATGACCGCATGAGGCTTTGGGGGGAACATCCAGACACAAACCATAATGTGGCGTCGGCTAAGGAGACTGGCAGGAGGCCAGCTGGAATCTCAGCCCTTCAGGAAGCAGTCTGTGTGAAATTCTGTGTCTCCCACCTGTTTGTGCCCCGCCAGCTGGCCTTCCTGGTCCTCAGCTTGGTTCACCTTAGTCTGCAGCTCTCCGAGATGGCTGAGGGGGGCACCCCCCGCTACTGGCGAAAACCACGAAACTGGCTAGAGGTAGGATCCTGAGCTCAATTCCTTTGTTTAAAAAAAATACAAAACAGCAGGGCAAGGGGCTGGGGATTTAGCTTAGCCGCACAGCGCCTGCCTGGCAAGCACAAGGTCCTGAGTTCGATTCCCAGTACCGGAAAACAACCAAAAATTAAAACAAAAAAAACCAAAAACCCAGCAGGGCACGGTGATGTAGCTTGTCAGCCCGGCATCCTGGGAGGCTGAGGCAGGAGGACTGAAAGTTGGAGCCCAGTCCGGGCAACCTAGTGGCACAGTGAGACCCTGTCTCAAAATAAGCAACAAAGGCTGGGGATGAAGTTCGGTGCAGAGGCCCTGGATTCCATCCCTGTCCTGGGAAAATAATGTCTTTATCTGAGAAGGAAAAACCCCACTAGCTACCGTGCTGCCCACCCGGCCGAGCACCCTCCCAGCACGGTGTTCTGGCCCCCACAGCAGCCTCATGTTTCCGCAGTCGCCCTGGGTGCCCGCCGGGGCCTCCTGGGCAGCCGTCTCTCCTCTGTGTCCCAGCTGCCTGCGGTTGGTGTGGCCTTCGCCTACTATGTGGCCAACGGCCTCCTCGCTGGCCTTGCTGGGGACGTCGCTGATCAGGTCCGCCAAGGACCGTGCCGGCCGTCTCTGGACCTCCGCCCCATGGCGCTGCAGAGCCAGGTGAGCTGGGGACCCGCCACGGCTGGGACTCCCGGGGCGGTGGTTCTGTGCCAAGCGGACCAAGCCTGGGCATGCCCAGGACCTGAGTGGCACCAGCATCTCTCTGAGACCCCACGTGGCGGCCACACGCGTTCTGGCAGAGGCAGGGGAGAGGCTGACATCGCGGTAGGCGAAGTCCAGCCTCCTGGGCCTGCCCCAAGCTCCCTTGCTTGTGCCCAGGGCCCATGCGAGCAGACACAGGGCAGGGCCCTCCCCGAGGCAGGCGGGCGGGCAGCAGGGTTTCCGGAGGGGACATCGGACACGGCCTGAACACCGTGCCTGGTGACGCTCAGCCAGGGGTCTTCTGACATGTCTATGTCCCCGGTGCCCTCTCCGAAGCCCCTGCACCTGCCACATACACTTCCGGGGGCTCCCACTTCCGCGGCCGACTCTGGCTCAGTCTAGGCCGATTTCTGATTCCCCCGTGAGCGGCAGCTGCTGTTGCTTTAGCATCATACGCACCTGCAGTACAGATAGTTACGTTCGCTCTGGGGAGTCGACACCCATGGAAATTATATCTCGGTCGTTTCTGATCCCTTCGCAGCTTCCCCTCCCCTACCTCACGATCCCGTTCCCCATTTCCCTAAGCCAACTCCCCATGTTCTAACACCTCCTTTATTTTACTCTTAATTTATCTTTCAGCTTCTCACATCAGAGGAACCATGTAATACTTAACTTTCGGTGTAACATTGTGGTCTCAAGGGCCATCTGTTCTCCTACACATAACATGATTTCATTCTGGATGGCTGAGTGATATTCCATTGTGTATATCCCACGTTTTCCTTATGCATTCCTCTACTGATGGGCTTCTAGGGCTTCCAGAGTGTGGCTGAGTTGTGCCGCTATGAACGTGGAATGCACGGTGTGCTGCGTGTGATGTCTGACTCTCTGGGGAATGCACCCAGGAGAAGTACAGCTGGGTCAAACGGAATTTCTCCGTTTAGTTTCTTAGGAACCTTCATACTGCATCCCCGTGGTTGTCTCATCAGACGCCAGCCATGTAGAAGGGTTCCTTTCGCCCACGCCTTTGCCGGCACTGGCGTGTTTTGGGTTCCCGATGACAGCTCTTCCGGCTGCAGTAGATGGAATTCGAGAGTCATTCTGACTTGCGCTTCTCCAGTGCTCAGCTAGCTTTGGAGGAGCACCAGCACCAACATGGTTGATGCTCCCCGAGCTGTGTCTAAATGTCACCTAGTCACCTGTATGACAAGCTGCGCAGCCATGAGGCAGCAGGTCCGGCGACCCACGTGGTCACAGACCATGAGAGCTGCCGTGGTTGCACGTGTCTCATCAGAAGCAGCGGGCTCCAACTTGTTCTCTCTGCAAACATCGGAACCCGTGGCCCCAGGGGAATCCTGGTGCACAAAATGCTGTCCAACCCAGGAACACGCTGTGCGTGGTGCTCGGATGTCCCACAGTCCCTGTGTCTCCCTGTCCTCGGCTGTCACTCTGACCTGCTCCGTTTTCTTGTCGCAGAGGGTGCGGTGGCTCCGGGGACTGCTCTTCTTCCTCTGGACGTTGAAATGCGTCTCCCTTCCTGGCCTTCTCGGTGTGGCGATGCCCTGCTGCTCCCGGGTGTGGGTGCGAGACTCCGCCCCCAGCATCTCCGCTCCAGTGGTAGGAGTTCTCCCGGCTGCATCGATTCCCTGTCTAGCAGCGTGGCAACCTGTCGCTCGGGCAGGGAAAGAGCAAACTTCTCTCCCGAGACACTGTCCCGCGTCCCAGTCTCCGAATCCACTGCGGTGCGGCTTTAGATCACTGAGCTCAGGTGCTGCCTGGTATGCCACGGTCATGCCGGGAATGACTGGCTTATTCAGTTTGGTGTGATTTCCCAGCCCTTGCTGTCACGGCTCATGGGAGTGGGGTCCTCGCCTCCAGCATGGCCTCCGGGTGTCAGGAAGGCTGCGTGGCCTCTCGCGTGCTACCTCAGTATCCCAGAGGAACGGGGGCTCAGAGCAGGCACAAGGGCTGCCTGGGGGCTCAACTCTTGGGGTCTTGGTTACTACAGCCACTCGCTGCTTCCCGCAGCCCCGGCCTGCTCCCGAAGGCTTCCTACCCATACGCGGAGCTCACTGTAGCGCTACTGAATTAACTGGTGGAATCAGGGAAAAGCGGGTCGTCGTTCACACCGCTTAACAATGTGCAAGCGTGCTCTGATGTCAGGGGGAGAAGCCAGCATGTGAATAAATGCAGAGAGAGGGGGAAGAATTCGAACTGGGCAGACAGTAGGGTCCCTGGGACCCCAGGGGTCCTGTGAGCCACCCCGCTGCATCTGCAGCAACGAGGACCCACAAATCCTGCCTGCTTTCTCCCAAGTTCCACAGAGGCTGGACAAGGCCAGTCATGATACTCAGACGAGCTCAGGGGAAGGACAGGGCCATCTTGGGTGACAAGTAGGGGCCAGCAGGGCCCTGCAGGGTCGCAGCATATGGCTGTGGCTGTGGCTTGAAGACCCCTACTGGGCGGGTCACCGTCCACATGTGAGCTAGAACAGGCCTAGAACAGGGCTAGAAATCAAGATCCTCCTGCCTCGGCCTCCCTGGGTGCTGGGTTTACGGGCACAGAACACCACATCCCACTTTTTTACCCACTTAGGGGCCCTCAAAGAGGCTGCCGACCCACGGGGCAGTGGGAGCCCAGGGTCACAGCTCTTCTCTCTCCTGCAGCTGGTGGGGGCCCTGCTGCTGGCCGCCTACGTCCACCTGCGCCACCTTCTGTGTGCAGCCTGGGTGCTGCCACCTCACACCTCTGCACACCCGGATCCCCGGCTGCTGCCGCTGGGGTTTCCCAGGAGAAGCCAAGGGTACTTGTTCCCGGCCCTGTCCACCTCCCGCTGTGGAGCCAAGGCTGAGCACCTCGGGGCCCTCGCCACGGTGGTGGCCATGCTGTGCCTGGGAGTGGTAGGTGCACAAGCCCGGCTGTGGGGTCAGGGTGAGGAAGGCACCATGTGCTGTCCTGTCGGGGTGAAAAGCTCTCCGTCCTGGTGTCCTGGGTGGGGGCTGGACATGGGTGGTAGGCGTCCCCCTTAATTGACAATAGTCCAGGAAGACAATGGCCACCAGGTGCTACCTCCTCCAGGAAGCCTGCCTAGGTCTCACTCTGCGCTGAATTATGAGGTGTGATCAAAATATGCAGTGAATGTTTAGAATTTTTAAAAAAAATTATGGTAAAGGACACATCATCATGAACCCCCCTCAAAATACCCTCCTCACTTCAAATGTACTTAGCCCACTCTTCCTGCCATTTTCTGGAGCAGTTTGCAAGTCCACTTTCCTAAGTGTCTTTACCAGATGTGATCAAAAACAGGGTGAATGCTGCTGCCGAGCGCCACCCAGCAGAAAGGCAGCATAAAACATGAGGCTGTGTCCTCATTCCCTTATCCACCAGGCCTGGCGTCGTGTGACTTCTGGCTCTTTGCCAAAGTCAGAATGACCATGAAAGGAAAATGTTTTGAATCAATTTGGGACATGGAGGCAGCCAGGACAGCGTAACTAGAGACCCTCAGGAAAGAGCACTCCAGAGCTGCTGCAGAAATCAGCAGGCAGATGGAATGAGTCACTGTGAGATTTCAGTGAGCGAACAATTTGTTAATGTGAAGGTGCCCTCTGCAGCAATACTTACATTGAAACTATGCGTTTACCTGAAATGAAAGTAAAACCCGTAGCATCCCGCCTCGTCTCTGGACCCCTGTGGGCCCGGCTCTTGGCGCTCTGCCTGGAACTCCCCACCACACCCCTCAACCCCGGGCTGCTGCTGTCACACCCCAGGCAGTGGCCCTGCAGCTGTGCTCAGGAGAGCGCTCCAGGAGCTCAGGTGAGAACTCCGGTGTGGATGCCCCTGCTCTGCGCCCGACCCAGCTCCACACACATTGTGGATGCTGCACCTGCCCTGCACAGCCTTGCCGCTGGGTCCGTCCTGCACCCACTCAAGGTTTAGAGCTGTTTGTTGTTTCAAGACAGTGCCCAGTGGGGAGCCTTTCTGCACCCAGATTCCCGCAGCTGGACCCTGAGGCCTTGGGCATGCCTCATCCCTGCACCAGTGCCCTGACCGTCACTTCCTGTCTCCCTTTGAACTCTGGCCATGTCCCGCTTCCTAGGGGAGTTCTGATCCATGGACAGCCCAGTATGTGCAAGAAGAATTGGTAGTCGAGCTTCACAAGGGACTTAAATGTTTTGCAGTTTTTAAAGTTTCATCTAGTAGAATGAAACTGGCGGGGACTACACAGACTCACACCTCGGCAACTCGGACCCCAGGTCCTTTGCTTCTCCGGCTGCTCCTGACTACTACTCTCTGCCCTCTGTCTGTTCATCCATCCCTCCATTCACCCATATGTCCATCCTTTCTCTCATCTACTGTCTGTGCACCCACCCAAGCAACTATTTCTCCATCCGCCCCTCTAAGTATTTATCACTACCTCCTCATCATCTATCCATCCATCCACCATCTATCCACCCATCCATCCACCTATCCATCCACCCACTCACCCATCCACCCACCCACCCATCCACTTATCCATCCATCCATCCATCCACT